CAAGTGGTATGTATGGCCACCACTGTAGTACGTCCCAAGCAGGCATGAAAGTATGTTTTCTTCCCGGGATGATCAACCCCAATAGCAAAAGAGGCAGCTCTACAGGGAGACAGGAGATGAGAGCAGTCTGGTGCGTGATTAATTTATATCTTTAAAAGTCTGAAATGGTCCCAAAGTTATTAGTATTCCCCGGGTAAAAAAGCTGTCCAGATTTTCAACATATCCCTGCCTTATTTCCACATCTACTGGAATTAATAGGTGAAGGATTGTAAAGCCCAAAATTCAAACACAAGACTGCATTTAATCATTAATACAGAACCTAAGATCATAGTTTGGGAATCTAAGTGTTGTTGTCAGAAGCAGAGACAGCCCAAATTCTCATTTATAGACTAAGACACTTCTAAAATTTCCTGGAAGCATAAATGCACATCAGAGTGGGTGCAGAGCCAGCACTGACAGCCTCTTTACACTGCGAAAACATTGATATGAAGGACCCTTCAGAGAAATGAAGACAAGTGAAAAGAAAAATCCCATTCCTTACATCTAACACCAGTAGAGGTGACACAGCCCAAAAGCTTTTTGGAGTAAATTAAACTCCAGATGGTTCTCTCTGTCTGTCTCTCTGTGTGTTTGTAGACCTGTGCAAAAGGAAACTGTGCATACACTGGGAAGAGGTAGAAGAATCCACCCAAGTGTTTTAAAAGCAGGCATAAGCCCACGCTTGTTTTTTCACACTCTTCAGTATTCCAGCCGTTGCACCCAGAAATAACTCCATTTCTCTGTTGAAAGAGTTGCTATGTCTAAGTTGGTGAGGGATCCTTTGGGATGCATAAGCGCCACCTCCTGCTTCCCATATTTAACTTTTCACTGGGGAAGGTCTGCTGCCAATTTTACCCCAATAAATGCTGGGATAACAGGGAACAATGTCCTGGCTGAGCCCAACACTGCTCCCAGTGCCCGGCTCATCCCACCACAGTGTCCTCAGTCAGGGCACTGAAACAGGAAAGTGTGTGCTAGAGACTGCAGTAGGTACTACATGGCCAGCTCTTTGTCTTCTAACTCTGAAGAAAATGTACTGAATAGGCTGACAGAGCTTTTGCATAATGTGGTGGAACTAGCACAGAAAACACACATGCAATTTTTTAGGTTTGTTAGATGATAGCCTTTGTCTACAGTAGCATATTTTGCTGATACTATTTCCAATCCCCTACCCCCTCCTACAGACGTGCAGAATTTACAAGCTCAAAAAAAAGGAGCTGGAGACCCAGAATATTGTTACTGTAAAATTAAATTCTGGGAGCCACACTTGTTTTATAAATCAGGCTAGGAAAATAATGCCTGGCTTCAGTTTTGTTGTTTGGTAAATTATTTGTAGCTACTTGTTTCAAGATACACAGGCTAGTAGTCATGGAGGTCTGTACCCTTCCACTTCCACTTTCTTGCTGCCTTTAATTGTCGGTGATTGTGAGGTTTTTAAATTTTTGTTTACATTTATTTATTTATTTATTAATAAATTTTCCTGAGGCAAGTGGTAAATGTAGACCTTTAAGGACCGTGATACCTTCTTATTGGGGGATTTATCTCCCAGGTAAAAGAAACACAAGTCTTTCCTGGTGCAATTCAAGTCAGTTGGCATGGGGACTAAAAGGGTGCCTTAACTCCAGGGTGTCAGAAAGGATCTAGGGATCAGCAGAGGGATCAATGTGCAATGCACCATTTCCAGTTAAAAGAAGGAACCAGGAGACCTGCTCCGAAATGACAGCATTTAATAGGCTAATAAATTATTAGATAGCTTATCAGATATCATAATGTCAAACTGGAGAGAATAACCCAGTGGTTGTTTCATACAAACAGTAATAACTGTTGTTGTTTTATAAAAATATTTCTTATTTCATTGATTTAAAATCTACTGATCTGTAGCATATTCAGTGTCTTTTCACTAAACTTACACTTTCTCTTGCCCTCCCTCTGAAGAGGAGAGTGAAGCAGACAGGGCTCAGGCAGGGCTCCTATGGGGGGGATCCCAAATGTGCTTGTTAGCAAGATGCTGTCGTATTTACCTTCCTCTAACTTTTCACTGGGATTTACAAGGACTTTGGGTGTTCAAAAAACATGATGAGTATTATATTTCATAATCTAGAAACATTGTGACTTGTGACTAAATATTTTGCTTAATAATTAACAGAGGTCTAATAAGAGATGGAAAAAAGATGTCAGCAGCGACATGAGTTGCACACATGAGTTGAAGGCATCCCCCGTGACATCTCCCTGTGTCTGGGCACTCTGAAGGGTGTCTGTGGCCAGGCAGGACACGTCTGTGGGTGTGATGGGGGAATTTGAAGGGAGTGAGAAGTAGCTGCACCCGTGGATGGGCTGAGGGGGCTTCACACAGCTCTGTAGCTGTATGCTCCACAATTCACTTTCTAAAGTGAAGAAGAGGTTTATTTCTGCACCTTCTAAAGTGTTGCTAGGAGTGGCCATGGAAGCTGGCTGGCCTGAGCTCTTAAACTTGTTGAACTGGGCATGCCAAGGGCACATCAACACAGGCTGTAAATAAATGTCTCCTGCTTGTAAGGACTATGGTGTGTGACCCACATATGCCATATAAATTCTGTATCCAAGTATGTATTTACTTCCCATAACACAAATGTGTCTTTACACATGCAGAGATGAAAACAAAAAACCCTGAACTAATGCCATTGATAAAAAGATGTATTTCATATATAAAGATATACTCAAAAATGCTAGCTGGGATACCCGTGTATTCACTGTGAGCAGAAAAATGAACACCATGCCCCAGACACTCTTGTGAAATAAATTTTGTCTTCAATTTCATTTTAATAGCCCAAGATCTTTCTGCCAGATGTATGAATGTCTTTGTGAGGAAAGACATGGGAAGGAAAATGAAGATGTGATCAACCTAGGAAATGGTTCTTGGGAAACCTTCCAGCATCATGAGCAAGCGAACACAGGAGTGCATTAGCACGGCACATTGTGTGATGAATGCTCCAGCAGCTGGTTCATGGGACAGAAACAGACATTTGTGGGACAAGAGAAAGCAAATGTATGTAACAGACACAACTTTAAAAGTTTTTAGCAGAGGCTCATGAAATTATACCAAAGAACAAATGGAGACCACAGTCATAGCTAATTGACAGTGACAAGTTTTGCTTTGCACTGTTTGGACTGGAAATGACATCTTGAAAAATTAAACTTAGGTCAGCACACTCAGAATAACTGTTTTTCAGCTGTTCTAATAATCCCTTTCAAAAACATCACTGCATGCTGTGTTATGTGTCTCTATCTCTAATTTTGAACTATCAGCAAACAGACAAAAGCATTGATTAAATGTGTGCACAATATTAAACTCAAGATGCTGAATACACCAAAAAGTGCGAAGGCATTGTACAAACAGAAGTAGAGTGGCTAGAAAAATTAATTTGGAACAGCAATGAGATTTCAACACAAACAAAGAAAAGCTATTGTATCCAAGACGAAATGTAGTGTTGTGACTTGTACTGACAAAAACTCATAAAGATGAAGGCTTGGGAGTAATAGGCTGAAAGGTAATATCAGTGCTATGCAAACAGAGGCATCATACACAGATGGGACAACTTATGCTGATCTTTACATAGCACAAGCAAGAATGCCTCTGATATTAATTGCAAATTGCAGGCATTCTGCTGTCTGAAAGAAGGGGAGCAATGCTTTTGGAAAGTGAATTGGATGTGTGATTGAAGAAGCAGCACTTGGACAGGGACACCTTCCACTAGACCAGGTTGTTCAAAGCCCCATCCAACCTGGGCTTGAACATTGCCAGAGATGGGACATCCACAACTCCTCTGGGAAACCTGTTCCAGTGCCTCACCACCCTCATAATAAAGAATTTCTTCCTAGTATGTAGACTAAATCTACCTTTATTCAGTTTGAAGCCATTCCCCCTTGTTCTATCACTACATTCCCTTGTCAAAAGACCCTTTCCAACTCTCTTGTAGCCCTCTTTAGCTACTTGAAGGTCCTGTAAGGTCTCCCTGGAGCCTCCTCACCTCCACACTGAACAACTCCAATTCTCTCAGCCTGTCCTTACAGGAGAGGTGCTTCAGCCCTCTGATCATCGTTGTGGCCCTCCTTTGGACTTGTTCTAACAGCTCCACATCTTTTTTATGTTGGGGACCCCAGAGCTGGGTGCAGTACTACAGATGAGGTTTCACCAGAGCAAAGTAGAAGGGCAGAAACACCTCCCCAGTCCTGCTGACCACACTGCTTTTGATGAAGCCCAGGATATGATTGGCTTTCTGGGCTGAGAGTGCATGTTGCTGGCTTATGTCAATCTTCTTGTCCACCAAAACCCCAAGTTGCTTTTGTCAGGGCTGCTCTAAATCTGGTCATTTCCCAGCCTGTATTTGTGCTGGGGACTGCCCCAACCTGGGTATAGGACCTTGCACTTGGCCTTGTTGAACTTGATCCTTGTTGAACAAGGATCATATGGGCCCACCTCTGAAACCTGTCAAAGTCCCTCTGGATGGCATCTTTCCCTCCAGTGCATTGACTACACCACAAAGCTTGGTCATGGAAGGGCTTTGTGGCTACTGCAAGGATAATCCACTGGGATCAGGACCTTAGACAGGAAGACTAATAAATTCCAGCCACTGTTTATAATGAAGATTATTTGACACAGAAGGAGAGAAAAATCAAGGGAAAGAAAGATCCATTTTCCCTTTTACTGGGAGTCCTGAGGATAAACAGAACCTGAAAAGGAGGCATTTGTTGTTGCATGAAGGGTCTAGGTTGGAAACAATGGCTGTATGGCATACTGTACAGCTGAGACCTGATACAAAACCACCAGAGTCAGGCCACTCTTTTCACTGCTTCCAAGAAACCCTGATGTCACCAGGACTGTGCTGCCCTGATTCAGATACTGGTCAGTCCCTGAGGTCATCCTGCTTGCCCCAACGTTGATCCAGAAAACCCAATTTTCAAGACAAACTGGTGCTCCTCACCTTACCACCTTAGTGCCATTCCTCATGACCTGCATGTCCACCATGCAGCCACCCATGACGTAGGCAGCCAGGTTCAACTCGGAGAACTCTGCCTGGAGTGGAGCAAAAGGACAAAGTGTTACTCGAGGGTAGCAGAGACACAAACACATGGACACAGATGCAGAATTATCTTCAGCTAGAATGTGCTTTTCCTTCTTTTTTTTACTCTGTGAGGCAACTGGAGGTCCAATTACAGCTGGTTTGCCCTGGAGAGGCTGCAGAAATCTTTACGGCTCCCAGACTTGGGGTGTAAAAGTACACAGGATTAGGCTTATTGCAGTAATAAGTACTGAAGGAATTAAGAATGAGCAAGCTGAAAAATGCGTACAGGAAAGAATAATAATAATAAAAAGAGGTAAGGTCATTTGAATTCAAATTCCAAGTTTCCACTTGGAAACATCCATTTAGAATTATGTCTGAGTTGGCTGTCGTGTCACTGGCCAGCTATAAACCTAATACGAAAGATTTAAACCTTTTAGCTAAATAGCTAAAAAACCTCATTATGCTGCAGAAAGGTGATAAGCAGAGAAGGCCACCTGATGTGATTTACTTATTCAGATTTTAACTATTAAAGGATTAGCAAAGCTGGGTAGGCTATTAACAGTGCTGCTCAATTACTGAAACACTTTATATTTTAAAGAGGTGGGACTTACAAGGCTGGAAAGGTTGGCAAGGAATATTTCAGCTATGGGGAGCAAAAGGCACAGGGGTGATTATGACTGCAGTGGATGCCAGTGAAGGTTAAGATACAGATCAGACTAGCGGGGTGAGAGGTGTGATAATCCTCCTGTGCGGCTCTGCTTCCCCTCAAACAGAGGTGCCAACAAGACACAAAAGTCTCAGGCCACTCTCAGAAGGAGGATGGCAGGATATGAACTAGAATATCCTATTATTGTACCGTGCAAGTATTCCCTTTCCAGCACAATGCAAACACACCAGTACAGATTCAAAGTCTTATGTTATATTAGTGCCTTGATATAAATACGAATAAAAAGGTTTCATTTTTTGATGCAGAAAATTTAGTCTTCCTTTGAACAGTTTTTTTCCCCCTTCCTTTTAAAGCATCTCTTTCAGATTAAATTATGACCAAGACTAGGCAGCAGTAAAATCATCTTCTAACTAATAGCTGTCTAATAACAGAGCACTCAGGTGCTATTGTTAATAGTTATGATTTTATTGAGATCCTTGAACTATTCAATGTTCTTCTGCTACTTCTATTAGCTGGAACCAAAAGATAGTACCAAGAACAACTTTTACACAGGGGAAAAAAAAAAAAAAGAAAAAAAAAGAAAAAGAAAGAAAAAAAAAAGAAAAAAGTTAGTTTTGTCCTCATGAACTCATGGAAAAAACTTGCCAATGGAGAACTAGTACACCTGTAAAGGCTCAGAGGCCAGACAACAAATGAAAAAATCATTTCCAACTTTCTTTTTTTAAATCCACATAATTTTAAAGCAATGACTGTGGACTGGTGACCCGATGATGTAATGAGATTTCATGTCTGTGGACCTGTGTAAACTTTTTAAAGCAACAACCTTACATGGTCTTACATCACTGTAACTCCCAATTACAATGAAAAGAGGAGGAAAATTCCTGTTGCCAAGAAATAAATTCTACTTCAAACGCGTACACACATACACAGACACAGACACACTCACAGGGAGGGACTGGCAATGATAGAGGTGATTGCCTGAGTTTTACTTTTGAGTTTACACCGTGTTGCCTTGGCCACAGCCACACTTCCTCAGGGATCATATCAGATCAGAGATAAGAAAATATGTACTTCTAAAAGGCACCTGCATTTAATGAATTTATAAAATCTCAGTAGATGCAGGGGGGGAGGAGTCCACCTTGGACAAATTCAGTAAGATCAGATGCTTTGGGTGCCATCAGTGATCTCCCCAGTGGGTCAAAGCAAGCTTGCTAGCTTACACAGAAGCTCAAGAGGTTCTGTGGACTGGGGAGATGAAACGTTTTCCCAGCTCTGTGTCTGCATATGTCTCAGAGATGTCCCAGTCTGAAAGCAGAGTGTTACCAAGCTGGAACTTCAGCTTCTGATGCTGAAGAATACATCATCTGATGTGAACACCAGAACAAGAAACAGAAGTTTTAGGTCTGTGTTTTCATGTTTTTTATGCTTTTCCTCCATAATGTTTTTCATAATGACTTGTAGTAAAGAGCTTAAAAATTTTCCCTGCTGGGGGTGAAAATGGGCATTTGATGACTGGCACTTACAATCTAACTAAGTTGGTCTGACAGGCATTCCCTTGAGGCAGTCAAGCCAAACAAAGCTGTGCTTAGACACCTGACATCCAAACGGGCCTGGGAATCCCCTGAGCCGGTGAGTACTTCATACCGAACTGCCAGGACCATTTTCAGGCCTTTTAATGTCAAGAGCCAGAAGAAAAGCAAAAATTCCCTTTGGCAACCATTGTCCAGGGAGCCCTGGAGAGGAGGGAGGAGCGGAGAGAGGGTCTGAGGGACTCAGCTATCTTACCACCACAACATCCAGCTCTACAATCATAGCTGAGGGACATTCCTGACCTTTTCCTGGCATTCAATCCTGCTTTAATAGACTAAGTGAAGGAGCACTGCTGCTTTCACGTAGCTGCTTTGTTCCATCCAAAAGGCTACTGCTAGCTGGTGTTTGGAAGAAGGCTGAAAACTTCAGTCAGCAGAAATTGTTTCCTGTTGATTTTCCACTGCTCCCTGTATTTTTAACTTTGTGGGTTTTGTAGCCTGATGACTTCCCTTGGCTGGGATTTCAGCTCTGAGATCATCTCCAGCCTGAGTTTACCTTGCAGACAAAGAGGTCTTTGAAAGCAGCCCATGCAGATAGAGTGACAGGTAACTATGCATAAAACAGGAGAGTCCAGCTCCCTGTGGCCTTCCAGAGTCATTTGCATTAGGAATCATCAAACAGAAGGTGGCATTACATTGGCCTGATTGTGGCTTATACTTGCTTTCCAACAGTGCCAGTGGCTGCAAAAACGTTCAGGGCAAGAACAAACCATGTGTGATAAACGTGACACAATCTGCCTTGAAAAATAACGTAATACATACTGTGGGAGTAGAAATATTTCATAGCTCTGTGAGGCCCAGATTTGAGACAATGCCCACAGCTATTTTGAGGATAGTTCTGTTAAAAATGCCTATTCAGGTGGTGATTCAGAAAATGCTCCAGATCATTTGGACTAAACCTTAAGCTACTATCAGTTTCCATCAGTGCTTTCTAGGTGCTGGAGGTCTTTCTGAGTTTCTGTTTGCTGATATTTCAAAAAGGAAGTTTTTGTCATTTTTAATCATGCAATAGTAGAAACACCTGGCTTGGAATCTATACCTGTGACTGATTCAAGGGAAGCATGTTTTCAAGGTAAATTTCAAGCATTTTTCATAGAATAGTTGTGTTGGAAGGACTTCAAGACATCACATAGTCCATCTCTTTTTCCTAAGCTCTGCCTCTGACATTGTGTGCAGATATACATAAACTTCTTCTGTCTTCCACAGATGAGGAACTTCCTCAGGCAATTTGTGCCTTGACAAGCATGGAACATTTTCCCAATGCCCAACCTAAATCTCTTGCCTTACTCATTAAGTCTGCAAGTTTTTTGGAGGGCCACTACTTCTTCCTGGAGGAGACTAAAGACTTACGCTTGAAGACTTGCCCTTCCTTTTTCCTTTTTCTCCCTAGAGAAAAGCAGTCCCCATTCTTATAAGATTTTCTTGTAGGTGATATTTTTCAGCACAGTGATCAGTGTTATTGCTGGCACTGGCATTCTCTCTGACAGGTCTGCAACTTCCTTGGGTTGTAATGGTTTAGACTGACCATCCTTCAGTGCAGACCTGACCATTGTTGAGTAAGACGTAAGGCGAACCATATGTTTGAGTACGGATTTGTCATATGTGCAGCAATGTGACTATTTTTTAACTCATATCCTGGCTGAGATCTACTGTAATCCTTGTATTGCTTTGTCTGGGCTGCTGACTAGCCTGGTCCACGTTGTGGCTTAGGCATTTGGAATGAGGAATTACTACTGTATAGTGAAATCACATACATTCCTCAGTAGTTTTTATGCTTTATTTTTTGGTGGATCTTCCAACGTGTACAAGGGAAGGAAGACTTTGGCAGACATAAGACTGCATTCCTGAAACACTACAACCATTGCAAGCATTTCAGGGGGAAAGTTAGCAATCCCTAAATCCTGTGCAGGCAGAAGGGTGGACAGATAGCATGGATCTCAATGGGATGAGGGGTGAGGCTGTGCATGCTTGGTGTGCATACGCATGCAGAATTTGACATTACACATCCTGATTCCCCATGTCTCTTTCCTGAGACATTTTCCTTTGGGGAGGCACTCTCCTCCCCACCTGCCCTCAGTACTGGGATCTCTGGAAGAAAAGGATAGAGAGGGTCCATCTCGGTTATGAATGCTGCTGTGTGGCTCTAAGAGGATCTTCCACAACTGCTCTTGACAAGTCCTGAAGCTAGGATGCTCCTAGGCTACAGGCACTGCTGATGCTGAAGATCCACATGCCTTCACCTGTATGAGTGCTTTTGGTGCCTCAACTCTGATGGCATTCAGAATTGTCTTGAGCTTTCATTTCAGAAGTTATGTGACTGCCTGAAGATCTGAGGTCTAGAAAAGCACATTTCTAAACCTTTTGATCCCAGGAAACGGCTCAAAACCATGAACTCTGTAAACCTCCAAAGGCCAATGAAAATTAAAAAAAAATTAAATTTGAAGATACTATTTATTTAAGAAATCCATTATTTCTGAGTCATTCCTGTTAGTTGTCCAGGTCCCTTTATTCATGGTTTCTGAATGCTTGTATGTGGTGAAGCTATGAGAACTGCTGTTGCTGTTCTTGAGCAGTTTTCTGGCGTTCAGTTAGAAAAAACCCCAAACTCTAAACATACAATGAATAAAAATTATACAGTTGTTTGACAAGAGGGTAATTTTCCTTTCATCACACACGGACCTATCAGACTCTACCTTTTGAAATGACCACTTTATGCCACACATGAAAATACCTCTTTAGGGTGGGAAGTACAATG